CCCCACATCCTGAGATGCTGCAAAGGGCCCATTATTATTATTTAATTGCTCATTTGCAGAAGTGATCAGGGGCTGTATTTGGTGTTCTGTAGTAATTAACTATAATAAGTACCCTCAATTTCCCAGAGAACCTGTGTTAAAAGAGTGATGTTTCATTGACTCTAGGGGGTTGATTTACTAACCTTATAAACACGCCAGGAACAAGTATACACCTCTGTAGTGTGTTCCCTCCCAGCCAGTGGCGTCGCTACAGGGGGGCAAGGGGGGGCAATTGCCCCCCCTAGGTTTTCACTTGCCCCCCCGTGTGCCCCCCCGCCAGGGAATTTGCTGGCACAATGCCTGACTGTAGTTTGTAACTCCCATTCAGCATGATCTTGAGTGTCCTCATTTGTGAAATTCCAGCAAAAACATTCTATTTATCCTTTCAGGGCCGTTTGTATTATATTGATAGTGACGGGGGCACAATATACGCAGAGGTACCTGATTACCTGAAACAGGGAAAATATAAATGGGGGAATTGAGTGTATATGATATCATCACTGTATTCTGCTCTTCAGAAGAAAATAATTAGCTTTCATAATCCTCTTTGTGCTCAGAGTAGTTTAGCACCATGTATTGTTGGAAGAGAGCCACCTGTTTGACACATCAGATGAAACGTGTTTATTTAGCATTTTCAGACCATTTCCTATTATATAAAGAAGTTGTGCAAATGTCTTTACAGCACAAAAATGATTGCACTAAAAAGATTTGGACCTAAACCAGTATGCCATATGCACCCATTGATGCTGTGCTACCATGGCAGTGACTTTAACAGATATAATAGTAGCAGCCTGTTGGCCTATCCTCCTATAACATGCCAGAAAAAGGCACCACTTAAACATATGTGATATCATCCTTTGCACATTTCACTGTGCTCCATGACAGTTTCCATTTGCTCCCTCATACTCTAATAGTCTGAGCAAACTAGTGCATTATCCATGATGCAGCGTCTCTGATTACATTGTACATGTGAGCACCAGTGTGTACCTGCAATCCAAGATCCATGGAGAAAGAACATAACTCAATAAGCCAACAACTTTGAGTTATGGTACTTAAAAATTCCCTGTGTATGTGAATGCATTGCATTAAGCTTTTTGGGTCTTAAGTTTTTTTTACTTATGGGTCATGTAAACCAAGTAATCTGCAAGCTGGGAATCATGCTTATCTAGGCATGATATGTGACTAGTTGCTTGCACACGCTTTTCTTTTAGCATACCAATTACAATTCCAACCAAAAGGTTTTTGGAGTCAGAAACTATGCCAGTGTTTTTTTTCCTGTCTATGACTCCATTGGGTTGATTTGCCCTCACTTTTTATCCTAGCGACACCAGTACAAGAAATAAAGAGAGCAGGGGTCACTGAGACAGATAGGCATTGACAACAGTAATTTACCATGAGTTTCTGTCCCTCTGCCCCCTGTCACAAGACAGGAAGTTAAGGGAAGTCTTCTCAAAAGGAACACAGAAGTTCCAACCCTTCCCCACTCTATCGTAATCTTAAAATGTTTTGTTCAGAACTGGGCTTTGCATGCTCCATTTATTTTCTATTTCTGTTATAATTTTTAACAAGCTTATCCATTTTTATCTATAAAAGGAAAATCAATGTTCTACTAGTACATTGTAGTTTGATTTGTGTAAAACTATGTTCAATTACATTAACTGATAATTCTCTACTTTTATTGGAACTTTCAGTATTACCAAGAAGATGATTAAGTTATGCTTAATTAGGGTTAGAAGTAATTTTAAGGGTTAGATTGAAGTGTATGTTCAGCCCAAGCTGTCGGTAATTAAAAACCTATTAGGTCGGTAATTAAAAACCTATTAGGTTTTTACTGCTTCCTGGTGATCGATCGAAAGTTCGAACTTATCGAGTTCTGGGACCGCATGACTTCCGGTTTCCTTAGAACTACGAGGTTTGCACACAAAACTTCTTCTGCACGAGCGCCATCCGCGACATTGCTCTATACACATACACCAAAGCAATAAAGTAATAAAATGAAGTCGGATCACAGTAATCAAGCACGTTATTAATCTGACTTGCCCCACTCAAGCAGCGGCCATATTGAGTGGGGCACCGGAGATAAATAACGTGCTTGATTACTGTGATCCGACTTCATTTTATTACTTTATTGCTTTGGTGTATGTGTATAGGGCAATGCCGCGGATGGCGCTCCTGCACAACAAATTTCTTGCACAAACCTCGTAGTTCTAAGGAAACCGGAAGTCATGCGGTCCCATAACTCGATAAGTTTGGACTATCGATAGAACACCGGTTGCAGTTAGAGAGATTTATCTCACTTCCTGTCCTGCTGACAACTTTTTAGCAAACAGGATGTTAGGGTAACTCCCCTACAACAACACAGACAGAAATAGAATTGCCTTTCTTTAGTAGAGAAGTAGGAGGGTACAACCGATGTTAGATTTTTATTTATGTGTCTCTGTTTCAGATCTTCCCTTTTTTTGTATCTGGTGAATGTCATGCCAGCAAATTAGAAAGTGAAGCCAAATATCATTATCAGAGCCCCAGATAGCAGTAAAAATATTTCTTATTTACTTAATAAAGAAATTTGCTTGACATACACTTTAAGGGTTATGGTTAGGGTATAGGTTTTGGTATCAGAATTAGATAAACTAATCATTGTTAGAGATCATTGGTTCTCTCATTTAAAATCAAGTTTGTTTTTGGTGCTAAAAGTTTTGCGCCAAATGTAACATGGTAAGTTACAAGGAATTCTGTGTATGGAGGAGGTGAGATCATGTCAGATACCTGCCCCTCCTCTCGCCTCCTCTATTCAGTGAACGCCTTGTATCCTGTGAAAAAATTCAAGGCTTTTTGTAAATGGACGCGGAGAGAGGAGGGGGCGGGGTCGCCAGAAGGGCCTGCCGGAGCTAAACTTGTCAAACAGAACACAACATTTGCATAGTTAAGTGCCCTGGGTTCCTGTAATTTAAAGGTACATGTAGAGACCCCTTGATATTGTTTTGTTGCTCCTGTTTTACCCTGTTTAGATTGAAAATAAGTGTACTTTAATTATTATATGACATTGGAAAGGATTATACATATTCTGGTTTTATGGTTACATGTTTTTCAGCATATAAAAAAGTGCTTTGGTTTATTTTGTTTGGAGATCAATGCGCAGATGAATGTAATTAGATAGTGTCCATGGCTCATTATGCTAATATTAAATAACCTGTTCTCACATCCCAGATTCTAAGCATGATTGCCTGCATCAGTTTGGAAAGGAAACCAAACAACCTATCACTAGGGATGATGATGTCATTTGCACAACGGAATATTCCCGCATTGTCCCTCTAGAAAATGGGGAGGTAAGTAGAAAGCTGTATAGCCAATCATATCTATAACACAAGGGCTCCTTTTAATGGTACATTTTCCTTTTCATAAATCATGGTAATACATGTAAAACTGAGTCTCTGGCAAGGAGAATGTAAGAATAATCAAAGATGTAAAATACCGCTTGGTATGGGCCCCATTATGTTGTTGTTATTCAAATATATTGGCAAGTGGCCTTTAAATAATGTTCCTAGGGGGCTGTTTTAGTTTATTTTATTGTATCACATTGTATATTATTATTTCCTGTGCTTCCTAGCTTCCAGTGTGTTTGTCAGACTGAGTTGGGAAATATTGACTTAGACAAAAGAATTAGTGGAGGAGGATCTGCTTTACTTAGTTGCACTTAAATTAGATAATAATTTCCTATTTCAAATCTGGTACAGAAATCTGTGCTCCATTATCACTTACCAGAAATAGTTTATCCCACAATAGTCAAACTTCTAAAAAGTTGTTCAATAGCAGAATACAGTTATAATTCTGCTAAATTATTTATTTGAAGCTTGAGCTAGTGATCAGTATAAATCAACTGTTGTACTTTACAGACTAACGGCCTTTTTGTGTAAAAATTTATTATTTCTTAAAGCAGAACTCTGGGAAACATTTTTATTTTAGAAACAATACAAGTTAAGTAAATTACCCCTAATAATAAGTATAGTAGAGGTGAAGGACTGCTACTGGCTACGCTGCTGCAGGCTCCTATGCAGAACCCATGTTTTTCCGGCATTGCATGGATGAAAAGATGCAGCTGTGATAGTGAAGAGCCCCAGTTGCATCCCCTCCCTCTCCTCTCCTCTACATCCATTCACAAAAAGCCTTGCATTTTTTTCACAAAATACAAGGCATTTTGTGCATGGAGGAGGTAAGATCATGTCCCATACCTGCCCCTCCTCTCCCCTCTATTCAGTGAATGCCTTGTTTCCTGTGAAAAAATACAAGGCTTTTTGTAAATGGACGAGGAGAGAGGAGGGGGTGGGGTTGCGACTTGCCCTTTCTGCAGTGCAGGAAATATAGCACACTGTATAAAAGCCAAAATGATATGAAGATATGATTTTTATACTAAGCAGCAGCCATCTACATCTACTATACTTAATAGTACAGTAGGCTAATGTACTTAACGTGTGATGTTTCTAAAAAAACATTTTTCCCAGGGTTCAGATTTAAATTTAATAACCCATAACAGATGATCAGAATTAATCTTGTTTTGGTTTGACTTAAATATTGTGAATTCTAATACATTTTATTTTTGGGTAGAATAAGGAGGGGTTTGGATAGAGCAAGGACAGGTTTGGATTTTTTGCTAAAAGTAAAGTCATGGAAAATCTCCAATAGAGACATAGACGGTAAAAAAGATAATTGGTATTTTAGGCTTCACAGAATAATTGCTCTGTGCACATTTTTGAGGTTTGAATTAAGGTAGTAGCTGCTCAAAAAAACTGATGGCTCATTGAGAGCCATTCTCTTTATATTCAAGCCTAAAAAATATTTAGGCCAATAGGCTAAACCTGCAGTCATACAGATGGTTGCAGTTTAATCTCTACAACAGCTAGTTGGCATGGGCAGAAATGTAATAGGGTGGTAGGTTGTTGTCCCTGGGTACTGTTCGTACCGATACAGCTTGTCTTTATTGTTAAGCAGTCTGTCAAATGACCATTGAGCTCCCTGGACATTTAGGGCCCATGCACATCACACAGCATGGAAATACATAGCACATAACATGTGTACGCTGCCGTGAAGTGTGGAGGTGTTCTGCCATGTTCAGCAATGCATTGTTGTAGTGCATTGCAGTGCCCGGGGGTTTATTAACTTCTGTGTAAATTCTATGCGTTGGAACATGTAATTCTCTGAGATAAATCATGGTGTATACAGACTCTATTCAAAGCATGGCTTTTTTCCTTGTCTTTGCCTTGGGACTACGTTGGGCAACACTGCCCAATGCAGGCCAACAGGGCTCGTGTGAACCAGTCCTTATGGAGGAGTTGTAAAGTTGTATGAATTAGTACAGAAACCTGTACAAGTATGATCTTTTGAATATAAAATAATGTTTTAGGGGGTAAAGGTTCTTTAAGTAGCGTATCTGGATTATTCCATCCACCTGCATTTTTAAAGTGCTATATTACAAAAAAAAAGTACAAATTAGCTCTCCATACCCAGACTCAGTGTCTTTTAAGATTATTAGTGTAAATCCTAAAAGAATAGCAGACTTTCTTTTTAAATTGCGTTGTGTCACTCAGACATATAAAAAGTGAAGGAACAGTGAAGGAACAGATGGTGGAGGTGAAGTATGCTATATATGGAATAATAACAGTCTCCTCACTTTCTTATCCAAGTGTATAAATGGATTTTTATGGTAGTATGGCGGACTTGCCAAAACTTGGCAGCTCCTCCTTTTTTGTAATTACAAATAAAACATTTTCATGCTTGCTTTTGCCTCAGTTGAAAAAGTCATTTTAAAGTAATGGCATGTTACAAGATAAACATCAGGTACAGGAAGATCAAACATTTAAAGAGCATACAAGTTCTGACACCAGTGTGCTTTCTGTCTTGGAATGAAAATGTAAGTTGAATGTCTAGTAAAAAGTATAAAAACGTTTTTTTTCCATTTAGGAGATTCTGGAAGGTACAATTTTCTTTATTGCTCTTTCTGCTTCTGGTTAAAAGCAGATTGAATATTGGGCATTTTTAAGAACTCAGTTACTTGTGCAAAGTTTAGCGTTTAGCCCTTCTGCCTTGCAGCACTGGTTTGAATCCCGGTCAGGACACAATGTGCATGAAGTTTGTATGTTCTCCCTGGGCTAGCGTGGGTTTCCTCCCACACTCCAAAGACATGCTGGAAGGTTAATTGGCTCTTGTCTAAATCGGCCCTGTATGTGCGTCTGTGACATAGGCACCTTAGATTGTAAGCTCCTTAAGGGCAGGGACTGATATAAATGTGCAGTATATAAAGCACTGTGTAAATTGTCAGCGCTATATAAATACCTGAACCATCACTATAGCGATGTTTGAGGGCTTATTCACATCAAATGTGATTCTGTTCATTTTGACTTGTTATGTCTATTTCAGGTTGTAGTCAGGTTAGTGAGTGGACGACCCGGTGCTAAACATTTTATGGACTCGCCGGTACTGAGAGAATTCACAAAGGCTACAAATATAAGGCTGCGTTTCCTCAGGACAAACACGCTGCTTGGACATTTAATATCTAAAACGGAAAAAGATCCGACGGTAACACGCAGGGTAAGCTTGTCAGTTGCTATGTTCATTACTATATCTTGTGCACATAACGGGTATGTAAACCCCAACATTTAACTTCTCATGTGGGCTTCCTTTTGGCCTGTCACATCTACCAGAAAAAGTGTTTTTTACATCCGTTAAATAAATAAAATAAAAAATACTTGTGCTCTCTGCCTCTATAAACTGTTATCAGTTAGCACCTGTCCCAAATGTTCCTCATTTTATGTGGTCTCTTGTCCTAGTCGCTGTACACAGTACATAGGCAAGGCTAAACTATTACCATGAAGGTAAACCTATTTCAGTTCTAACATTGTTACCTGTAAATTCAGTGAGGGATGTTTCAGCCACATTGATGCCCAAGACTACACAGCTGTTGTTGTACCCCAACATGCAACAGATACACACACATATATATATATACAGAAGTGAGTACACCCCTCACATTTTTGTAAATATTTTATTATATAATTTCATGTGACGACACTGAAGAAATGAGACTGTGCTACAATGTGAAGTAGTGAGTGTACAGCTTGTATATCAGTGTACATTTGCTGTACCCTCAAAATAACTCAACACACAGCCATTAATGTCTAAACCGCTGGCAACAAAAGTGAGTACACCCCTAAGTGAAAATGTCCAAATTGGGCCCAATTAGCCATTTTCCCTCACCGGTGTCATGTGACTTCTTAGTGTTACAAGGTCTCAAGTGTGAATGGGGAGCAGGTGTGCTACATTTGGTGTTATCGCTCTCACTCTCTCATACTGGTCACTGGAAGTTCAACATGGCACCTCATGGCAAAGAACTCTCTGATGATCTGAAAAAAAGAATTGTTGCTCTACATAAAGATGGCCTAGGCTATAAGAAGATTGCCAAGACCCTGAAACTGAGCTGCAGGATGATGGCCAAGACCATACAGCGGTTTAACAGGACAGGTTATACTCAGAACAGTCCTCACCATGGTCGACCAAAGAAGTTGAGTGCACATGCTCAGCATCATATCCAGAGGTTGTCTTTGGGAAATAGACGTATAAGTGCTGCCAGCATTGCTGCAGAGGTTGAAGGGGTGGGGGGTCAGCCTGTCAGTGCTCAGACCATACGCCGCACACTGCATCAAATTGGTCTGCATGGCTGTCGTCCCAGAAGAAAGCCTCTTCTAAAGATGATGCACAATAAAGCCTGCCAACAGTTTGCTGAAGACAAGCAGACTAAGGACATGGATTACTGGAACCATGTCCTGTGGTCTGATGAGACCAAGATAAACTTATTTGGTTTAGATCCATGGTTCTCAACTGGTGGGTCGTGACCCAAAAGTGGGTCGCGACCCCATGTCCAGTGGGTCGCCACATGCCTTCCACTTTTCTAGGTATCCTTGTCCTCCCCTTAGACAAGCAAAGTCAGTTCTCGCACCGAGCAGCCATTCAAAAATATGATGCCCGGTGTCGACTTGAGGTGGGGCTATGGCCGCGAGGGAGCTCCATCCACACGTGCATTGCTTACAGCTCATCACTTTCTGGCTCCTGGCACCGGGCACGCACGGGAGCTTTACAAGCAATAGACATATGGATGGAGCTCCATCACAGCTCAGCAGCCCACACTTCACCCCAGGCTGAGGATCCACTCCAATTTCCATAATGGCAACCCAAACGCACCTCCCACCCACAGTTCGATCGCCTGCACCGGAAAGCACAGTACTGCAACAGGGAACATTGCAGTGCAACTTGGGTGGTGACTTAATGACCGAGGACAAATGTGGGTCCCGAGGTTAAACAGGTTGAGAACCACTGGTTTAGATGGTGTTAAGCGTGTGTGGCGGCAACCAGGTGAGGAGTACAAAGACAAGTGTGTCTTGCCTACAGTCAAGCATGGTGGTGGGAGTGTCATGGTCTGGGGCTGCATGAGTGCTGCCGGCACTGGGGAGCTACAATTCATTGAGGGAACCATGAATGCCAACATGTACTGTGACATACTGAAGCAGAGCATGATCTCCTCCCTTCGGTGACTGGGCCGCAGGGCAGTATTCCAACATGATAACAACTCCAAACACACCTCCAAAACGACCACTGCCTTGCTAAAGAAGCTGAGGGTAAAGGTGATGGATTGGCCAAGCATGTCTCCAGACCTAAACCCTATTGAGCATCTGTGGGGCATCCTCAAACGGAAGGTGGAGGAGCGCAAGTTCTCTAACATCCACCAGCTCCGCGATGTCATCATGGAGGAGTGGAAGAGGACTCCAGTGGTAACCTGTGAAGCTCTGGTGAACTCCATGCCCAAGAGGGTTAAGGCAGTGCTGGAAAATAATGGTGGCCACACAAAATATTGACACTTTGGGCCCAATTTGGACATTTTCACTTAGGGGTGTACTCACTTTTGTTGCCAGCAGTTTAGACATTAATGGCTGTGTGTTGAGTTATTTTGAGGGGACAGCAAATGTACACTGATATACAAGCTGTACATTCACTACTTTACATTGTAGCAAAGTGTAATTTCTTCTGTGTCGTCACATGAAATGATATAATAAAATATTTACAAAAATGTGAGGTGTGTACTCACTTCTGTGAGATACTCTATATATATATATACAAAGAGAAATCACTTGTAGTTTCCCCTGACCCCCAAAGGCATGTGGTGTACTCCAGGGGCAGGTAGGGCTAACATTTTGCTCTTAGGGGTGGGTTTTGCGATGCGAACGGTGAATGATGGTCATTGAATGATGGGCGCCAGTTACTTTAAGTGCTATTTAGATGCTTTATTAAAAAACAGCCAAAACTGGGAGGGAGGGTACAGATATCCATGTACAAATAGATTCCAGACTCCCCAATCCCTTCCAGCTTCCACAGTGCAGGAATGCTGTAGTTGAACAGAAGATGACACTGTGTAACAGCTGAATAGAGGATAGACTTGAGATCTTCCCTGGGAGACACACCAGACTTGTTCCTGAGGTCCATGCCATCCTGGCACCTCCAGCAGTCATAGGGCTGCTCTCCTTCGCAGATAGTTCCAAAACCCATCAGGGTCCACATCTGGCCTCCTGCAGGCTTCCCTGTACATTACAGAAATTGTTCTTATGTTTTTTTGTTTGTTTTTATTTCTCTAGTACTACTACAGTATTAAAGACATCAGTATTGGAGGTCGCTGTGTGTGCCATGGTCATGCTGCGGTCTGCGCTTTGAGAAATGCTGGCAACCAGAATCTGTAAGTGATCGTTATTAATCAAAGCATAACCAACACTGTATTTTGCACAAAATCTGTTCCCTCTGACTCCTGTTCTTTATGCATATTGCTAAATGCAACTATAATCACCTAAGAGAATCTCAGCTCTACAAGACACTAACAAGATTATTAAACACAACTTATGCATCTGTCCTGTACTGTATATATCTTTGACAGTGTTGAGACTGGAGTTAACAACCTCATTTGTCATGTATCAAAAACACACTACTGTACATATCAATATGCTGAAGGGGCACACATGGCACTTGAGAAACTCTGATATACTGTATAACATAATATTTTTGTGAATATATATA